AGGCCCATCTCCATGTACAAGGTCACAGAGCAGCCCACAGCAAAGCCAGGACGAGTGTCCGGGTCTGCCTGATGCCCAAATCCGCTCTTTTTACCACCCTGTTACCACGTTTTGTCTCCCCACCCTGAAGGGATACTATTCCAGCCCCAAGCAAAGGAAAGCCATTCATGTCAACCTGAAATGCCGAAAATGGCTCCTGTGTTGTTCAAGTCTTTCTACTGGAGGCCTACTTGAACTGACTCAGAAAAAACAAAGCAGTGTGGAACCTAGTTGGCTCATATAACCGGAGGCCAAGGTTTTCAAGCTTCAGGCACAGCTGGATCCAGGAGATCAACAGTCTGTGCTCTGTCCTCCAAAGCACCATCTCTTGATTGATGGTTTCTCTTTGCCTTTTCTTCCCATTTCTTCCTGTCTCCAATTTCCTCCGGTAAACCCAGACAGATATGCAGCTGCCCCTCTTCACTACCCTTCCCCTAGCTCTTCCCTGGGCTAGTTCCTTCTGTCACTTGTGTCTCGGCCCAAATATCACTTCATTGAGAAGCTTTCCTTGAAAATACTGTCTAAAATTGTCCTCTCCCAAAGCTGCCCTCCAACCCATACCTCTGACTGTTTCCCTGGAGTCACTGTCACAGGATGTGAGGACCTTAAGGATTTGGCAGTGGCCTATTGTCATGCACATTAGAAGAGAACTTCCGGTGGGGGGTGCCTGGCTGCCTGCTGAGCTCTGTACCCAAGCTCAGGACCTGGCTCTCACTCAACACTCCTTGATGGATGTCTATGGGGTCGGGGTGGGGGTGTGGATTTCTCTGCAGGGGACCCAGGATCGCAGCTCAGCTCTCTCTGGGTGGATACGGGGATCTCACCAACTCTGTTGCCCCATGGTAGAATGTTCTAGAAAATCAGCATCTGGTGGCCCCAGGGAAAATGTGAATAATGCTAGGCAGTGGTTTCTTCTCATCCCCAGTGCAGCTGAAGATGGGCTCTGGGGGCCCTGTCTGTAGGCCCTGTGATCATAATCACGTATCCACCTCTGATCTACATAAAACTCAATGGCTCTGAAGCCGGCACCAAAGGGAGGCATGAGGGTGGAAAAATTAGTCCTCATTAGAGATGGTCTTGCCAGTGACAAGGCAGCAGGGCAGCAGCTTTTCATCTGTGCTCCAGTCACGACTCAGCCACACAGAGACATGATGAAGGAGGACAGCAGGGTGGCTCCCCCAGGCTCCCTTGCTGAAGGGCTGGCCCCATGGGGATCCCTGGCCCCAGCTTTTAGCTCTCCATGTCCAAATCCTTCTTCAGGTGAAAATGCCACCTACTCCCTAAAGTCCTCAAGCATTTGCAAAGAGGAGCAGATTCTTTCTTTTCTGAACTTCTTGTAGGACTTTCCCCTAAGGACAAAAAAATTACTTTCCATGAAGAAATCTGGTTATCTGTATGGGGGGGAGTAGTTTTGTATGAGATTAGAAGCTCCCTGAAGATATCTCTGAAGATCTACCAAAACCATAGTATTGTGCCCAGGGTATGGAGAGCCCCGTGTGGTAAGTGTTTGTTAGCTGTGTGGTTGCTTGCTTGGCTATGTGGATGATGGGCATATGGGTGGGTGGGTGGACAGGTTGATGAGATGGGTGGACAGGTTGATGAGATGGGTGGATGGATAGGTGGATGGGTGGATGGATGTGTGGGTGGATGGGTGGGTGGATGGGCAGGTGGGTGGGTGGATGGATAGATAGATGCATAGATGAAGGAGTGGGTAGACTGATAATTGGCTGGATGAATGGACAGGTGCTTGGTTGAATAAGTGGCTGAACCAACAGTTGAGTGGATGAATGGATAGTTGCTCACTGTCATTTAAAAAATTATTCTTGATGACAACAATGGCAGCAGGGTGATAACATCAGATTTAAGTGGTGTATCCTGAACTGAGTTCTACAAATTCCTCAGCCCATAAGATACACCTCAAAATAAGCATTCACGTTTAGCTGAGTTTGAGAAATACTACTGTATATACAGAAGCCTTCTCAGGGGGATCATAATGCCCATTAGCATGTGAATGACTGCAGTCAGAGAACTCATTTCAACCAGTTTCATTAAATGCTGGCATAAAGTCTCCATGATGGATTCACTCACAGCCCGTCCCTCATCCATGATCTTTTAAACAGGTAAATGAGACAGTAAAGACCCCAGGCTCCATAGCTGAATGTCTGCTACCCGGAGACACACTGGGCTCTGAGAGCCCCCCAGAGGCCCCTGCTTCTGCCTGTTTCCCTTCCTTGCACCCAAGCTGAGGGGAGGGGAAAGGGAAGCAGCACTGTCTCACTTTCCTGAGCTCTCACAACCCAAGACTGAGTCATCCCACTTCATCTTCCCTTTGTTAGGCTGGCATGAATTCAGATGATTTTAGCTGTAGCTATGATACAGTGCTGCAATGATGAAACACAGCCTCTTCTCCTTGGAACAAGAGGTCATGAGGAATCTAATCATTTTTTCTGAAAAAAAAATCATCTTACATTTCAAAGCAAAAACTCTCCAGCCTCTTCAGTGGCTACAGAATACAAAAACTTAAGATGCAAAGACTTAAAAACTGAGGGAGAAATCTGCCTGTTCAGGGAGGGAGGCCAGCTGTGTAGACCCTCTTGGGACTAGAGATCCTAACCAGGTCTGTCCATTTGGACCATGTGAAGTCAGCCCGCAGACCCTGCCCACTTCTGTCTGTAGAATCCTTCCCTCATGGAGTGCTCCAGCCCCAAGGACCTCTGCTGGGTTCTCAGCTGCTCCAGTGGCCATTGCACAGGCCACATTTTCTGTGAAGGACACCTGTCCCCTTCTCTGCAGAGAGGCCCATGGGCTCCCTGTAGAGTGAGCTCAGCCACCCTCAAAATCAGGATCACTCTGCCCGCCTTGGTCTGCATCTTTCTGTCTCTCCTGGGGTCGATTCTGGTCTGGAGTTACTGCATTTGTCTGTTGCTTCCCCCTTGCAGGTTATTCCCCCCTCCCTGGTGGCTGGACTCAGGTCTTGAATCTTCTCCTGCCCCTGCCACAGTGCCTGACATATTGTGGGTGCTCAGACAAGATTTGCTGAATCAATGACTCTCAAAAAGTGGCATTTTCGGGTGTCATGAGAGGACAATATTTCCAAGATGGCACCGCTCATCTCTCTGTCTTTTCCATCTGACCGACTGTGGAGCTGATGGAATTGAATATTTATTCCAAAATGAACCTCAGTTTGATCCTGAAAAAGACAATGACCCTGTCACAGCCCACGACGACAGGGTAGCAGGACACTCAGTGCACAGGCTCTCTGGGAAATGTCCCGCCCTCAGCACGGGCCTCTGACAGAACTGCCCGGCACCTGTGCACGACCCCAGAAAGATGAAGGTGATGTGGATCATGGCCTCTCAGTCAATGGCTGCAGATATTTCAGTCTCAGGTGTCAGATGCCGAAGCCACCTTCACTGCCTCCTCCTGCAGGCTCTACATGGCCCCAGCAGCCCACTGGTGATGTCACACTTGAAGGACCCTGGTCTGTAATGAGCCTCCACGAGTAGGGCTGGCTGGAGCCACACTAGAGTCCTCTCTCGGTGCTTCAAAGCCTGGAGAAGCCCCCTTCTCTAATTAGGTAATAACAGAGGGAGGCAACCATGTGACTCAATAGCAGCAGCTCCTCTGAATGTGCCTTTGCCCGCACTCCTCAGCAAAGCCACTTTTAGCTTCCAAATTGTGCAGGTGGAGGAGGGAGGGACACAAAGGCCAGAGCCGTTACCAGTTCCCCAAGCCCCAGTGAGACCCTGCCCCAGGAGAAGGCTGTCTGTGCCCACCGGACAAGGGCTCATCCCAGCCCCAATCCTCTCCCAACCGGCCATAAATCCTACAATTAGCTGCTCTGTGAGTTTCACCATCCCTGGATCCTCAGCCCCAGCCCCGGCACTGAGCCTCGCCTCACACTGCTGCTGTCCCCAGAGCAAGCTTACACCTTCACTGAACTCATCCACCCACCCAGCCACAGTACCTCCCCTTCTGAGAAACCTTCCCTGACTGCCACGGCAGATGTGGTGCCTTTTTCTCTTCTCTGACAGTGCAGTGGGCACAGCCCAAGTTGTCCTGTGGCCCGGCAATGTGGCGAGATTCGTTTGTCAAATGCCTGCCACAGCAGCTCATGCCTCTGGGCCCCTGGACGCCTGGTACAAGACTGTGAGCTGCTCCTCCCCTGGCTGGGCCAGCCCTTGGAGTGCCATGGACTTGGTTTGAATCCTGGATTTGCACTGATTCATTACTAACTCCAGGAAAATCAATCCACCACTTAGGCTCTCACATTCCTTTCCAATAAAGTGAGGGGCAAGCACATGCCTCCCCGATCTGGGTGAGGGTGGACAGGAACAGCAAGCCGCTCCCTTCCGGGGACCACATCTAATGGAAGGACTGGGGTCACGGCGATCTCTCTTCCTCCTTCCTTTTCTCTTCCCCGCTCCCCTGGCCCTACCGGCTCCCTGCATCATGCAAACGGCTCTTGGAGCACATTCCACCAGGCCACATGGAGAAGCACCAAGCTGACACCCAAAGCCCTGCCTCCAGCATGCGCCCCCTTTTGGGTGACGCCCCGCTGGAGCGACCACCGAGCTGCTGCACCATTTCGGCACTCGCCTGAGATCTGATCAACTTCCTGCAGCAGCAAAACTTTGACCAACAGATTACAGGAGAATTCACACCTGCCCCCAGGCCCCTGGGGTGCTTTGTACAGTTCATCAAAGGATATACTGAAGCCTTCCCTGCCCACCTCGGGGACTCCGCTCGGTGTTGTCGGACAACACATGGCCCTTGCCTCTGGGGAAGCCTCTTCGTCCCCCACACCCCAGTGTCACACTGTTGCCATCTCTGTGTACCTGGGGGCGGGGGTGTGGGAGCCTGGACAGCAGGGTACTGGCCTCGAAGACCTGTTCCCCACTTCTCGGAAGCTGTTTAGTCCACTAAAGAGAGAGGTACTGGAAAGCTCAGGTCCAAGGAAATAGCGTTTCTTGAAACCTAAGGCCTTCGGAAAAGAACTAAGGGTTCTATGGAGGCCCTGGAGGGCTTTGTTCCTTCTTTGAGCCTCAGTTTCCTCATCTAATAAATGGGGGGTCATGATTTGAGCCTCACAGGAGCTGCTGGGAATGAGACCCACACCGACTGGACCTCTAAAAGCTCGGCAAATGTGAGTCACTAATTCAACCTCCTGACCACACTGACAGTCAGCCTGTGAGTTTCCTTTGGATGGTACTTTCGAGAAGCCCCACACACCTCCCCAAGCCCTAGCTTATCTGATCTGGCCCAGACGACTATAAATAAACAGTTTCAGACTGCCCTGAAATGAGCCATTTTCTGAGATCACATGAACTTGCTTTTAAGTAGCAGCTTTTCACAGATCGGTTGCTATGAGGCACTTTATTAAAAACCACCCATTTGCAGCTAAAATCCAGCTCCAACCAAATCCAATTTTCATATCTACTGCTTTTTTAGACATAATGATCAGGACATAGTGGCTGTTTCTATGGGGAATAATGGATTCAAAAGACTGTTTTTCTGTGTGTTTTCACTTTCCTAGCAGGCAGGTGGACTGTGCTTATAGAAGGCTGCTGCTTGCCATGGCCCTGGAGACCTTCAACAGAGACCAAATATTTATGCTTTGTTAGCTCGCACAGACATCTTCAGCAATGTTGATTAGCGCTTGGGGCTTATCCAACCAAGGTCAGGGGCTTGTGCCCCCCCACACCGGGCCCATTAGCTTCTCTCTAGAGGTAAAGTCACTGCTTCATTGTGGCCGATTACAGCCCACACAGCAGCCTCCCTTTGGCTAACGTATCTGACGGATCATCCTGGAGACCGAGTGGAGTAGATCAGTGGGTGGAAAACGCTCTGCACTAGGGCGAAAACAAAGACGGTGCCCTTTTCAGAATGTATCCTCAACAGGCCTCTGCGTCATCCAGGCTTTTAGAAGCCAAGTGATAGCAAGCGTGGCAGGGACACAAAGTCCCCCAGTGTGAGTCCCATTGCTCAGCCGAGGCAGCACCTGGCAGGGTGGTAGTGGGAGAAAGGCTTCTGCAGCCTCCATTGTCTCCACTCTGACGAGGGAGGGGGCAGAACCTGCACGCCAGGCTCCCGGGAGGCCCAGACAAGCGAATAGGTGCAAAGCTCTCAGCTCCGTGCTTAGCCCAGCTCAGACGCTTAATCCGAAGCAGTCACATGATATGATAATGATAATTAACACGTTTCCAAGGTAGCGAGTGAATATTGAGTGCCTTTTCAACTGTTTTTTTAATCATCTTTCGATTTAATAATTTGAAATTCACTTTAAAATTTGTTAAGAGGGTAGATCTCATGTTAAGTGTTCTTAGTACAATAAAATAAAAAATTTTTAAGGACTGATTTGAGTTGGAAGCTGTTTCTTGGAAGCCTTCTGTTTATCAAATCCTCCCTCTGATCTTTCTCCTCCATCTCCTGGGTTTGAATACATGTGCATTCATTTAATAAATATTTGCAGAGACCTACTGTGCTTCAAACCCTGTAGGAGAAGAGAAAATTCCAATGAACAGAATGCAGACCATGTCTCAGGGGTGCCCGCATCTCCTTGAGGAAGCAAACAGAAACAAAGTTGGGTAATAAGCACCAAGATCAAATAGACAGCAGGAATATACAGCAGGCCTGGAGGAGGAGGCACGGCTGTCTGCACTTTGAAAGAAGAAGGCCAGGGCTCTCCCAGAAAGACCAAAGGTTTAAACTCTAAAGAAGAGCTGTCCATGGGGACAGTTGGGAAGGCAGATGCGCTGCAGGAGAAATGTCCACAGGAAGTCTAGCCGTGTGTCTGAAGCTCAGAAGACACATGAAAACTGGTCAGAGACCTAGCAGCTGCCAGGGCCTACGAATCGGGGGAGAGAGCACTCAGCCGGGGAGGGTTGGCTGCTACAGAAGAGCTCTGTGGGGGCCACACAGGTGTAAGAGAAGGAGGAGGGATGCAGCCAGGGCACTCAGTACAGGGCAAGGAGCTTTCCTCCCAAGGGTGCCCCGACCTCAGCACCTCAACACCAGGCTGCTGAGGGCCTCTCCCACAGCTCTCACCATGCACAGACTCACTGCTCACCCCCTCCGCGTGTTTAGAAGTTAGCTGTGCTAGCCCCATGTTTCCCTGTAGGGAGCCCTTGTAGGTTTCGCTCTATCTGCATCCTACCAAGCCCACCGCACACTGGACCACTTCCAGGGGCCTCCTCCCAAGCTGGGCTTCATTCAGAGAGCAGCCTTTGGACTTTTGTGTTTGGGGGAAATAGCTCACTGCTTTAAAAAATTAAAACACTCAGGCATTGGGCTGAAATAAAACTCCAGCCTGTGCCAACAACTTCAAAGTAGAGATTAAAGGCTGATCCTAAGACTTAAAGGCACCGCGCTGATGGCTTTTGGTAGGAGCCTGTTTCCACAGAATTAATAGCAATAGCAGGTTATAACAGGTTATAATAGCAGGTTATAATAACAGTGCTCACCAAAGACACACTGTGTACTAAGGTCTCCAGATGATAAAGTGGATGGAAATAAGCTATTTCCATCCCCAAATTCCCTAACAGGGAGCAGTTAGTCAGGGCAGACCATGGGTAATGACACTTGGTTGTCTGTGAATTAATTTCTGGATGGGACTGCCAGGAGCTAATGCATTTTTTAGCAAAGAGGAGCTCCAGAAATCTTGATGCTATTGTGGATTGGTTAATCATCGTATTTACATCGCCTTGGTGGGGTGAGGGGCCAGCTGGAATGCCCTCTGGGGTTAATGGACATTTTGGAAGACGTAAGAATTCAGCCTTGGCAGGAGAAAGATGCTTGAGACATTCATTTCCACCCCGGGTCTGAGAAACTGCCTGTCCTCAGGACTGCCGAATTGCTGCTTGGTCATTTCTGAATTAAAGACGCATCTACTTTTCGATTAGCTAAGTTCAGCTTCTTTTGTGAAACTCTTCAGACACTTTTATTCCCTGGTTACCTCCACATTTTTTCCTCAAGTCTCTCCTCCACAGAAAGGTTGGTCTCAGGGCAGAATTGATTCAGCAACTCGGTGTTAATATGGTTTATCGATAGCAGGGTAAGATAGTATACAAATCTGGCTTATCGTTTTGATGTATTGGCCAAACCTGACGATAAGGTATGCATTACTATAAAAATACACTCACTGTGGCTCCTGAATGCCTTTTTTTCTTTTTGGCTGGACAGCATTCCCAGGAAATGATTAATAAGATGCTTCATTTAAGTATCAAGCAATCCAGATACCAAGCAGGAGCTCAGGCACCCGGATGCAAGAAAGCTTGAAATTAACAGACAGACATAGAAAGTATAAGATTAAGTTCATTTTCTCTTCTAATCTTACACTTTCTTTTATGTCTTTCCCTACATTAAGGAGAGATTAGTTAATCCAGGAACAGTCTTTTTGTTGGCAATTTTATATTATGTTTGACTACTTAATAGAAATCAGAGCTGCAGCGAAGGAAGATGAGGACAGTGCATCCCAAAGGCCCAGCCGGGAGTTAGTTTTTTGAAGAAGTGGCAGAGTTCATGGCTACTGTCAAAGAGCAAAGCAAACACTACAAGACATTCATTCATTCACTGATTCATTCATTCCCAGAACATTCTCTGACAGCAGCCCGGGAACCAGGAGAGGGCCCTCCCACTTGCTGCCTACTTTCTCCTGGAGAAAACCAGTGGGCTGCATCCGATCAAGTTTTTAGGGTGATTTGAAGCCAAAATGAAATTCAGCTCAATTCACTAAATATTTATTGAGCAGCGGCCATATGTTCAACACCACCCTGGCTGTGTGGGGAATATCAAAAGCAGGTAGACATGGTGGCTGTCACCACGGATCTTACATCTAATTGGGGAGATGAGATATACTGACACAATACAAGGCAATTATGGTAATAGCCTGCATTTAAATACCACTCTCCTGTTTACCCACATTTTCATATCACTCTCTCCTACACTGTTGAGATCTCTCAACAACTCAGGGAGGGGAGACCAGGCAGACATGATGGGATTCATTTTGGAAATAAGAGTGCAGGCTTAGCAGCTGGGGGGTGGGGGGGATTTCCCTCAATCCCCCAGCCATACAGGACACCCCTCCCGGCCCATGGACCCTCTGTCAGTGAATCAGCTAGAGCAGTTAGAGACACAAAGGTGGGGAGGCTGAAGGTGGGTGGAAGGAACATCGACCCCCACCCCTGTAGCTCAGCAGAAAGCTAGGCTCTGTGGGCTGTGAGGGTCTCCGTCCTGGGGGAGCATAGGTGACGTCAGTCTTGTCTCCTGGTGCAGTTTCCAGTTTCCACCAGGGATCCTGAGAGTGGCATGGAAGAGGACCCCTGCTGCTCAGCACCCCACTACCGTCAGCATCCTTACGGTAGAGAGGACTGGGAAGCAAGTCAACAGCAGGCATCTTCGAGGCAACCCAGGGAGCAGCAGCTGATTCAAGAGCACTGGGCACTGCAGTTGGCAGCAGCCAAAAACAGACACTGTTTGATGTTGCCGGCAAGCTTCAGTTTCAGAGCCCCATGCCAGCCTCATGAGCATGCGTGGGAGCACACCGCAGGGAGGGCTCAGGCCACCCCTGCTCTCTGCAAGGCAGCTTTCTGGCACTCCGCCCATCTTTGCTCTATTTCTCCTTCTGCTTCTCATTCTGAGTTCAAAGGATGAATGAAATCATTCCTCCTCAGGCCCATTAACCATGCGGATTGATGGCAAGAAATAAAGTTTAGATTTTTCAAAACTCTTCACGGCAGATGGCCCCCAGAGACCGACTGCAGGCTAAAATATGACAAGATCCCTAATTAAACATCATTAAATAAGCATTAAAAGAATGGCTGACGCACCTTTTCCACATCATACCATTGTGTGCCAAGAGGATCAAACCAAGGATGTCATCCCCTGGAAAGAGTCACAGAGGTCTCACATCCAAGCCCCTGGTGACCAACTGGGGAGAACAGGAACAGAGAAGCTATCAGTTCTGCCAGGGTCTGCAGGGATGCAGGCCAGGGAGAGACCCCAAGAAGGAAGAACAGATCTGAACACCAGCGCTCACCCGCATGGTTAGCATCTCAGGGGCCCTGACACTCGGATTCTGCATGACCTTGGTCAAGCTTCTTTACCTCTCTGTTTCTCTTTTCTTTCTCTAGGCAAGTACCTCACAACAGAAATGTCATGAAACCCACATCAGTATTTTTTAATTTTCTAGCAGAGACATTTTATTAAAAAGTGAGAACAAAAGTAAAAGAGAAAAAGCATATCACTTCAATGACAGATTTATGGAACTCAATATATACAAAATATTACCATTCTAGGCATGCAGTCAATATAAACATGGTAATTAATAAATGACGACCTTTTTTCCTTCCTGCCTGAAGTCTGAAATCTGGTGATCCTCAATTACAGGTCAGCACGTATGTAGAAAGTGGCCATCTTACTGGCCTTGGCAGGTCCAGAAGCTGGCCAAAGAACAGTCTATCTAACATGCTGTTGGAAGTTTTAAAATAAACAGGAAGTGAAATGTGCTAGAAGTGTCCCTCTGTGTCATTAGCACCCGGTAAATATTAGCTGTGATTATTATCAGAAAGCCAATGTCCAGACAGGTCATCCAGAAAGAACTACAATTCATAGCTCCTACTGATGAAATTTTCTCTCTCAAATCCCTTCCATAAAAACAACCCTGAGCAGAGAAATTGGGGGCAAGTATTTCTTTAGTCTCTAGGTAAAGCTAGTGGAACAAAAGGCAGCTCATCAAGCTCACCCTTTAAGCAACTGTGGATCCCAAGATTAAAATCCAAGCACAAGCCAAAATCTGTTACAAGCAGCTCCTCCTCCACCTGGGGTCTGGAAGCGAGGCAGATGCAGCCCACTCTCCTGGGCATATGCTGATGGAAACCCCGCCTCGTTCTATCACCAAAGCCTTTAAATCAGCTGTGTTACCCACCTGACACCAGAGCTACAACAGGGTCTGCAGTCCCTCTATAGTGCTCTCTAAATTTTATGGCCGAGGCTTCCTAAGACTGGGTCTTACCCAACAATCCAGACAAAAATAGCACTATTGATCACAAAGGCATCAATAACATGAGCCCCAAAGCTCTTGTGCACATTTTTAATTGTCTTGTCCCTTTTTATATCTTTAAACATTACCATAAGCATCTAGGGGACTCAAGGCCTCAGAGTGGGAGGAAGGAAATCATGCCTCCCCTCACTGCCCCACACTCGCAAACAGTAGGAAGCAGAACTAGTTGGCTATGAATAACTGCAAAGTCCTTTTCTGTAAAAAAGAAAATAAAACACTGACTGATCCCATTTCGAGCTCAGTATTATAACTCATCAGGAAATGCTGCCCAATTACACCTAATTTCCCATTGTTTTCCCACCGCTTAGCCTCCCTACAATTATGTGTGTTTGCTCTAACAGGGGAGAGTAAAGTGCCCAGCTGGTAGGCTGATCAGAAAGCCGACGTTCAATAAATTAATCAAGAAATAAGGAATGAACATTGTGTTTGATGTT